TAGATGAAAAAAAGGATCGAACCTATAATAGTGGAAATGTTAAGCAAGTTAATAAACACAAATAAATACAAATACAAATAATATGTTTGAATCAATAAATTCTGTATAAAAACTTTAGAAAAATTAAAATGCAGTGCAAAACATAGAGGAACACGTGCTATCGCACGATACTGGAGCATTCTCTAGGCCTAAGCTTCGATCGAGGCAGGAATTTCAGGGAAAAGGAAGTTGTTCAAAGACCCTCCTCGATTAAAGCATAGTCCTGTTTTTAACAAAAGGAAATATTTCACGCAGTTTTAGGTGAACTGCCACCCTAAAGCCCCTCCTTATGCGAAATACATTTCAACTATTTAAAAAAATACAATAATGTCGCCTTCCTAGCTCATCTACAGCTGCAGTCGCAACATAAGCACTAAGCATTAGAATCCTTTAATGCTGTTGCTTCATTCACACGGTAAATCTTCAACGGGACACAATATCACATTACTAGTACTGAAAACAAACTGACAATCAATAAAGTGCATCGGTTAAAATTGGTGAACATGTCACGCGACTGGGCATCACACTCGCACACACACATACGCATGCACAATGCATGAAGCCGTTACAGAGGACAAGCTCATCAAAACTGATTGAAACTGCTACCTTAAACAACTTTTCATATATCTCATACATACCCACACAACCCACACATCTGACGGGTAGGGTAAACGAAAGAAAGAACACCTGATTGCATGAAGAGCCTTTTTTTACTCTAACTTCTTAAGAAAAGTCATATATTATACCCTTGGAAGGCAAAAACAAGATAAATTGATGATATGTGGCGCCCATTTCGAGAAACACACAGTCAGCCTCCTAATCCCTATCTTGAGTCGGCACAGCCACACATTCTCAGCGACAGGTAAATCAAAATAAGAGGCGCCTGAAACTGCTCACGTACCGCAATGACAGGCCACGATAACGGTTTGCTCAGCGGTGATACTCAAACGAAATCTAATGCGATTTCGTGGGGCAACGACGAAAAAAAAACTTCAACAAATGAGAGATGACGAACAGAGTGAAGCCGCGTGGAGACGTCTATGACGTGGTGTCTGTCAGTAAAACGTGCGATTCGATGGACCTCCCCACTCTTTCACCGGAAACGCAATCGATACGTGTGCGTGCGCGTAACCTCCTCAGCTCTCCACACTCTCCTTCACACACACACATACCCATCCACGCTTACACACAAACACATTCAAATGTACATACATATGTAAATATACATATAAATACGAATCTGATTTCGAAACAGCCTCTAAGCGCATACAATGATGAGAAGAAGAATTGACTGCCATTGCGAATGTCATGCCTGCTACTTCTCACCATCAATTACGATGGACCATTGAAGGAATTTCAACGAAAATCACGCAGTTATGCACTGAAAACCAAGGCTGACAGGCTATGACGGGGTATGACGAGACTCGTTGTTTGAAAATACCAGAAGATAATCGTCTTCTCTTCTTCATTACTGGCCCAGCTCGCTTAAAAACTTCCAAAGCAGCAAAAACACTTTATGTTATTCTCCTTGTAACCTTATACGACTATATCCATATTTTTGCTCCTTTCAGTGGAAGATCATTTCAGACTTGTCCTTCTCGGCTTAGTCAGAAGCCCTGGTATTTATTTCCGAAACCCTATGCCGAAACCCTACGCTCAATAAGATTACGAAGCCGTACAGCAATACAGTAATCGGAACGGGAAGACTAGAGGAGCTTTATGAACACCGTTCTCACCTGAACCTGGCTGTTTCCCTAAAAGGTTCAAAAGTAAATCGGCAAAGGAATAGACGAAGTTGTCCCCGGGGACGAAAAAAGCTAATTTCCGAGAAGGCTTCCTTGGAGAGCGATTTGTATACCGCATGGACACATCGTGAATGAATGACATGAATACTACGAAAAAGTTGGCAAGTAGTGCTCACAGCAACGGACCATAGCAAAGCTCAGGAATGAATTTTTCAATCTTTGAGCATTACGCTAGGAGTCATTCGAGCGCATAAAGTCAAGATTCACTCACCTCCCAAAGAACTTATAACTGAAGATGAAAGTCGCGCCATGTTGGCGGTGTAAACTACTTCTCTACAATCAAGCCAGCAAATGCACCAATAGTGAATACAGCCGGTATCACATAAGCTCGCCGGTGTGGTTTGGTAGGACAGAAAGCGACTCTTCCCCTCCGCACCGCGAACCTTTTTTCGCTGCACCCTCAGGTCCACTCCAGATCACTGGTGACCTCCTCGGGTTCCCGCAGCTAAAAAAGTTTCGCTCCGCGAAAAGCGGAAAATTCGCTTCCTGTTCTAGCGAACCACACCCTAAGCCCGCCTGTATGTTCAACCGACGTTTACTTTTACTGATAAAACGAGAATGCAGCTAAGCGAGGATCGAGGAAGAGAACAAATTATGGAAGATATACAGATCATTAACAATTAAGGAGGTTCGAAAGCAATTGGTTTTCACGGAACAGCTGGCACATAATGCCCTTCAAACAACTTCAAAACAACTAACCGGAATTATCAATTATTGGGAAGCATAAAATGTTTCTTGTATGGAAGCCGGTTAATTGATCAACATCAGCATAGAAAAATGGACATCTGAAACCGTGATAATTGTACAATAGAAAAACCGCGAAAACAATTATTTTGCTTTTATAACACCTCATAGAAAATTGAATTAGTAAAGAACCTTTGCACATCTCGAACATTCATCATTGCTCTCGTTGTTGCCACTCGTCCAACAACACCTTTTGTCATCGGAACTCTAATTTCCGATAAATCACCAGCATTATCGAACACATTTGCTACCAGTTCCTTGTGCTCATTGTCCAACAAAAACAAAGAACACCTGAAATAAATAGGAAATATGAGAGAAAAATGTTACAGCGGCGAATTCCTACTAGCCAGCAATACGTGAGCAATCGAACCAGTAGAAATCGCAAGTTTCCAAGAAAAGCGTCTACGGGGATATTGACCCCACTGCCTCTTTCACTTTTAAGCAATCTCGAATATTAAGAAAGTGTCTGCTGTTTTCTCTTTTAAAAAATAAAGAGCTTTTACATATTAGCCACCTATATTAGCTACTATTCTAAGCAAAGCATGTTCAATCACTCCTCCGTCCGCTTTTTACTGCAAACGGTAAGCAATATGAAGCCTTTTTCATGTTTCCATTGCTTTTCCTGTGTGGTATTGCTCACGTGAATGTCCACATTTTTGCATGTATTAAAATAAATAAATGAATAACTCTGTCCTTCCAATCAGACCGTGTACACTCAGAGCTATTCGCTTGTTTTGAGACGGGTCATATTAGTGTACAACTTTTAGGAGTTTCTCAAGTTATTTAGGGACTAAGGCACTGTTCGTGAATTGCGGCTAATGCGATTTAGCCATTATGCTGAGAGGGAACCATATGTATTGATCTAAAACTTGCCTAAGTCGTCGATTGCTTTTCGCATAATCGCATTAATCACGGTTTGTGAGCGGGGCCTAAAGAATTTTCAACAAATTGGAAGCCTATCTCTACTCCCCATACCTCCAAATTTTCTGGAACTGAAACAGGACCATGGTTGGAGGGGATGTGGAGGAAAACTCCGCGTAGCGCGAAAACTCCCGCGTTTGTTGGCTTGGTTTGGTCTGTTACAGCTGCGTGAGCTAATTTACCGCATAGGGCATTCTCGCCGCTATGATCGTTTCCGACTTAGCATACGTCCCATTTATACGACCCTAGATAAATGAGCCTAGATCTGCGGCGATGATTTTTCTGAAACTGTGCGCTACGGAAAAGAAGGGTGATGACGAATTTGCGCAATCGCGGTGTACAGCTGCTTAGGACACAAAAATTCGATCAATGATCGCAAAAAATATGTGTGAGAGATACACCGCTGAAAGTTCACGCGACCTTTCTCTATCCACATGTGGCACTCAATCAGCTGAACAATCGAAAAGCTCATACCTACGAAACAACACATATCCGCATCCATTACTAGAAAACAGTACTAAACCATAATAGATATATGACAGTTAACTGCTGGTTCTATGGAACAAATACGCACTTCGAATGAAGAAAAAATAAATTAAGAACAAGACTTCAACGAAAAGAACAACCCACGTCTCTGCATGTATGAGATTTTTCGCTTCGTTTGTTATTGTTCGAACAAGACTTTTCATATCTTCTGAAATGTAGAATAAGCCTTTGGTAAACACCCGGTGAAACCGGGCCTCTCTCCATTTCGAGCCGATGAAGACGGTGACGATCGATGATCCGTCTGAAAATATAATATTGCCCTGATTAACAAACCATTACCACTAGGTGGCATTTGCAAAGAAAGTATTTTGCGACATGTTCGCTTGGTTATGAGATTGCGTTTATACAGTTTTGCTCCATTACACTTTACGAATCAGTCAAAGTCAAATATAGTCTTCTGATTTCGTCTTTTTTTCGCCAAATGCCGACTAACCAGGAAATGATTCGAACTTCCCATGGAACCTTGAAAGGAGACCTAGATGTGTCGATAGTCTTGAACGCTGATTACAAATATGGACACTAAAACTGCTACGTGAACTTCCTAAGAAAGTTATGAGCCTTCAAAGTTGGCAAAAAACGTTACTGAGGCGAGCTTACCTGGTGGAATCACAGTCGCCGTGGCTCTGCGCCAAAAACGAGTCTCATATTCGTAATCAGGGCACCCATTTACCCTTATAGAACAAGTTCCAAAAAGCAACCGTGTTTCCACATAGGTTGCACCTCATCATTAGCGTTCTTTTGCAACTTTTAAGGCTCACAACTTTCTTACAAAGTTCACGTAGCAGTTTTAGTGTCCATATTTGTAATCAGCGTCAAGACTATCGATGCACCTAGGTCTCCTTTCAAAGTTCCATGGGAAGACCAAAACATTCCCTGGTATCCAACTTACTTAGGAAATGATTTATTACCACGCCACTAATTCGAAGTATTATTATCGTGCGGCTTTGTGATAAATGTGAGCGAATTATTCCATCGTTAAATCAACATTTTACAGCACCACCCATACCCATCGACCTGCACTCGCACTAGACCAATTGCATACGATCTGTCGCCGTTTGCGTCTACAGACAGTGATGCGTTTCATAAATCACCTAACCCGGAACGTTCTTCGATCTTAAGGAAAAATGGGTGCGCTGCAATGTTCTGGTCTTTTCAAGAACATCACGCATCAGGAGCGTAGAACCGCCTCAGTTGCGCATTGGCCGTATTTGGCCATACGCTGCTAAAACTTGATGAACAGAACCGTTTAATAGGATCCGCTAGCAGATCTTTATTAGTGTGAAGACTACATAGTTGCTGAGCATGCGAGAGATATGATTCTTTTCTTACGGCGCATCTCACATCATAGATCAATTGGCACTATTGGCGATAAGAGGAAAGATTCGCCAAACTAAAGGTATCAATTTGGAGCAAAAATAACTCAGCTAGCTCTAGATTTCGTGTTTCTTTTTTAGTGAATTACGGTCTAAAGAAAAAATGTTGAAGAATTCAAACCCTTCCAAATGTGCCGCTACCTAGGTTTCCAATCAGGTTCGCATTTTACTTAAACCTGGAGGCGCCAATAATACTCAAGGCCGTGTCGAAGAATTCGCAGACATGTCTGATTTCAACCAGTTGACCTTGGATGGTGAAAGGCTCCATTTAGCTGAGCGCGATTCGATCATATCAAAGTAAGATATGGTTTCGCTTTTTTCATAATACTCTACAGATACGAGTCTTCTTTCAGCTGAAGACAAAAAGTTTTTGTGCGAAACAGACTTTCAAAAATAAAATTCAGCATGCAAAGAAATTTTTATCGATGCTCCGCTTGTACTATCACAAAACTTTGGTGTTGTCCTGAATAGGTAGTTTAGTGGATTCGAGAGCCGTACCACTGAAGAAGAAAGGGAGCTGGTTGCGTAATCCAGCAAAAGAAATGGCACACTATTCATGAGCAGTGGGTTGAAAGCGAAAAGCGAAAAAGTCGCTTACTGTTCTAAGGACTCACACCCTAATACACGACCAGGATCTTCACGTTTACTTGAAAAAAATTGCGAGTAGCTCAAAAAATTCATGGAATCAAAGCACTGAACGGCAAACTATAAAGTTTCGGAGAAAAAGGCAATATTTTCTGCTACAAAAACAAAAATACAACAAAGGTCTGCGCGGTTAATAAATCTCAAACTGAGGCCAGTTGGTCAACCGATTCTGCTAGGATTCTGAAATCTCAAAATACTACCTCTTTCACTTTTAAGCAATCTCGAATATTAAGAAAGTGTCTGCTGTTTTCCTCTTTTAAAAAATAAAGAGCTTTTACATATTAGCCACCTATATTAGCTACTATTCTAAGCATAGCATGTTCAATCACTCCTCCGTCCGCTTTTTACTGCAAACGATAAGCAATATGAAGCCTTTTTCATGTTTCCATTGCTTTTCCTGTGTGGTATTGCTCACGTGAATGTCCACATTTTTGCATGTATTAAAATAAATAAATGAATAACTCTGTCCTTCCAATCAGACCGTGTACACTCAGAGCTATTCGCTTGTTTTGAGACGGGTCATATTAGTGTACAACTTTTAGGAGTTTCTCAAGTTATTTAGGGGACTAAGGCACTGTTCGTGAATTGCGGCTAATGCGATTTAGCCATTATGCTGAGAGGGAACCATATGTATTGATCTAAAACTTGCCTAAGTCGTCGATCGCTTTTCGCATAATCGCATTAATCGCGGTTTGTGAGCGGGGCCTAAGGAATTTTCAACAAATTGGAAGCCTATCTCTACTCCCCATACCTCCAAATTTTCTGGAACTGAAACAGGACCATGGGTGGAGGAGATGTGAGGAAAACTCCGCGTCGCGCGTTTGTTGGTTTGGTTGATCCTGTTACAGCTGCCAGTGAGCTGATGTTACCGCATAGGGGATTTCTCCGCTATGATCGTTTCCGACTTAGCATACGTCCCATTTATACGACCCTAGATAAATGAGCCTAGATCTGCGGCGATGATTTTTCTGAAACTGTGCGCTACGGAAAAGAAGGGTGATGACGAATTTGCGCAATCGCGGTGTACAGCTGCTTAGGACACAAAAATTCGATCAATGATCGCAAAAATATGTGTGAGAGATACACCGCTGAAAGTTCACGCGACCTTTCTCTATCCACATGTGGCACTCAATCAGCTGAACAATCGAAAAGCTCATACCTACGAAACAACACATATCCGCATCCATTACTAGAAAACAGTACTAAACTATAATAGATATATGACAGTTAACTGCTGGTTCTATGGAACAAATACGCACTTCGAATGAAGAAAAAATAAATTAAGAACAAGACTTCAACGAAAAACAAAAGAACAACCCACGTCTCTGCATGTATGAGATTTTTCGCTTCGTTTGTTATTGTTCGAACAAGACTTTTCATATCTTCTGAATGTAGAATAAGCCTTTGGTAAACACCCGGTGAAACCGGCCTCTCTCCATTTCGAGCCGATGAAGACGGTGACGATCGATGATCCGTCTGAAAATATAATATTGCCCTGATTAACAAACCATTACCACTAGGTGGCATTTGCAAAGAAAGTATTTTGCGACATGTTCGCTTGGTTATGAGATTGCGTTTAATAC